GATTTTGCATGTGAAATTTCAAAATTTTCTGATGCATAAAAGTATTTTAAATCTTAAAATGAAAATTACTTTGCATGTTGGATAGGCAACATGTAAAAAGAAATATAAGGCATGAGAAAAACTTTGCTTAACAAACCTTAAGACTTAATTAAAAAATTAGATATTTTGCATATGAAAGCATTGTAATGTTTACTGATCATCTGCCAAATTTCGTGAACATTCACCTACTAATTTAAAAGTTATAGCATGAAAACTATAACAAGCACAAAATGGTTATGAGCCCGGGCTGAAAGAGTTAATGAGGTTTTATTGCAGTGTTTGACGTATTTTCTTCCTTAGCATCTACTGCATAGGATAAGATCTCTGACAGTTCAAAAGAATATATTATTTCAAATTACTCTAAAATTTGGTCAAAGTGTGAGAACTCAAATTAACAACACCCTAGTTTTCATTAAAAGCAACAAAATATAAATTTTTTTATGTACATTATATATAAAACTCTGAGCATGGTACAGTAAGCTAAAACAAAAACTCTAATACTCTGCTTTGATCAGGTATAGTTGATGCCCTTTTTTTTTTATCGTCAACTGATATATTCAGTACTTTCTCCACATTCTCTTTTAAACTGGTGCTACATGTTTTCAGTTAATTTAACTTTAGATGTTGGGCAGTTATTTCATAACTTCTATGTTGCCAGCTCTTTCCTTCTTCTCCAGTACTCTATCCTGATAAAATTCAAAGTCATGGCCAAGTAAATTGTTCATTTGATATTTTTGATGAAGCAAAATGATGCCCTTCTTCATAATACCATAAATATTGTTGGGATGAAAATTTTGCAGTAATTTTCAATTTCTTGCTTTGATTTAGACACACTACTGACCATTCAAGGGATTAACTTAAATCTAATGAGAATATACTTACAAATAATTTTATCTGGTACATACCACAGAAATCCTTTGTTACAAGTCTTGGAAGTATGCATTGGAGTCTGAAAGTCTGCTTGACTTGTCTCTGTCTGATAGATTGCTGCCATATTAGACCAGCGCATGTATGTGTTGTTGCATCTGTTTCAAGATAAAAACACTGCTGACAGTTTATGATGGAAGTACACACAAGGTGAGAGAGGTTGGCCATAACTGCAAGGAGAAATTGTGCCAGTCGTGGTTTGTAGTGGTTCTTGAACTCGAAGATGGAAGTGAAAAATGTGGCATTCAAACTTTGCAACTTTATCTCAATAAAATAATGTCTGTGAAAAAAACAATTGTCCTGTTGAGAGAAGTTAGTTTTTTTCTACTGTTATTAGTGCACAAATATAGGATATACACAATATACATATAGGAATTTTAATATAAATATTAAGTTAAAACAAGCACTACCTGATCCCTCCACACCATGTTTTTGGCTGTTCTTGATGTTAACTTGTAGATCTTTTAAGCTCTGATTTTGACATTATCTTCCACTCCCACAGCCGAAAGACAGCCACACACAATTATAGTTTCACCACTAAGTTGCTTATAGTAATGTTTTCACTCAAAACATTCCAGTTTCCAAACAACTCATTCTTTGCTTTGTAAGCCCATTGTGAAACTTTTGTAAAATACTTGTTTCTTTTGTGGATGCAACTTTTCCTTGTAGACCACGTTCTTGAATTCATCTTCAAATAGGTCTCTTGTTGATTCTAACCCCATATATATTTTTCCTTTATTTTTACCTTTATTTCTGGGGATGTTTTGAATTGATTTTTAAGTTTTTCATTGGATACTATCCTCCCATCTGCATGTTTCTTTCTTTCTTAGATAGCTTCCTCTCAAACTCTCAGGTGCAGTAAGATGACTTTGCAACAATACATTTTGAAAAACTAGAAGGTTGGAAAAATATGTAGTGCAATATCTTTAGATGTTCCTACTTTTTAAACTCTTAGGTACAGAAAAATATTCTTGCAACAATACAGTTTGAAACTAGAAGGTTGGAACAGTATGTAGTTCAATAACCTTAGATGTTGGATTTTTAAACTCTGGGTTCAACAGAATGTTCTTCCAACAATACACTTTGAAACACTAAAAGTTAGAACATTATGTAGCTAAGTATTCTTAGACATTCCTTCCTAAACATCTAGATGCAGCAAAATGTCCTTGCAACAATATTCTTTGAAGTACTAGAAGGTTTTGAACAATATGTAGCTGAATATTTTTATTATGTAAAGCAATAATTTGTGTTTGTTTTTCATTGTTTGATTTTGAATTTATTTTCTTATTTTTGCTAGTTTTAGTCATGTTGAAATTCACTGTAATTAATTTGTGTATAGGATTTAACAGGTGTTGTTATAGAAACACATATCAGTAGATCAGACTTCATTCACATTTAATAATTGATGTGTTACAACATTAATTATGACATGAATACTTGCTTTAGTTGTAATTATTAAACAGAGAGAAGACAGGAATGTAGTGCTGCTTATGTAGTTTGATTGTTTTTGTACTCTGACTTGTGTTCAATAAAAGTGTTAGCTTTAATAATGTTCTTCATGCAGGGTGATTGTTGTGGTACTCTGATTCATGTCTGATACAAGAGATAGTGTTAATATTGATTGTGCATGATCATCATTGTTGTACTCTGAATTTTTACTGGTGCAAGAATTAGTGTCAGTATTGTTTGTACAGGCTGATTGTTATGTTATGATTCATGTCTGATACAAAAGGTGGTGTTAATATTGATTGTGCATGATAATCATTGTTTTACTCTGAATTTTTACTGATACAAGAGATAGTGTTAATATTGTTTTTGCAGGCTGACTATTGTTGTGAGGTGACTTGTGTCTGAGATTGTATATCTACTTTTAGTTTGAATTAGAGAAGGCAAAATTATGGATTTATTTTGTTTTAAAAATTAACTGTTGTACTGATTTCAAAAATCAGCAGCAAAATAATATATCTGTATAATATTTTTTTTTCCTTCCAGAAACTATATGCTGTTTGTGATTTGGCTGTTGGCTTGTTGGTCTCTAAAACAACCAGTTTTGTTCTAAAAGACTTTCCTGTGGAACCATCACTACCCTCAAAACTCTATACAGATCCTGACAAGGTAACAAATTAATAATTAGTTGTTTTTTTAAACTAGTTATTACACTATAATAACTGCAAATTATAACAAGGCATCAAAATACTTTATTTCATTTTAAAAATACTTATTCTACCATAAAATGATACAAATCCTTATAAAAGATAGAATTATAGTAACAGGGAACACTCTTTTCACTGCTGTTTTCTTTATTGTAACTGAACTCCTCCTTTTCACTGCTGTTTTCTTTATTGTAACCGTGAACTCCTCCTTTTCACTGCTGTTTTCTTTATTGTAACCATGAACTCTTCCTTTTCACTGCTGTTTTCTTTATTGTAACAGTGAACTGCTGTTTTCTTTATTGTAACCATGAACTCCTCCTTTTCTCTGCTGTTTTTGTATTGTAATGGTGAACTCATCCTTTTCTCTGCTGTTTTTGTATTGTAATGGTGAACTCCTCCTTTTC